GCAAAGCGCCGCGCAGGACCCGGGGCCCGGCCGGACTCCGACCGCAGTCGCCGCAGCTGCCGCCGGAGGCCTGGGTCCCTCCACACTCACCATTCCCTGCCTTCTAGGGTTCCCGGGGTCGCCTCAGCCTGTAGAACGGAGATGTCACAGCGAGGAGGCTGAGCCACTTAGAAGATCTCCTCACAGAACACGCGAGGCACACTACCGCGTCCCAGGGAGAAAGCTGTTCAAAAGAGGAAGGTTCCCGCCCTCTCCCAGCTGTGCTCCTGATTGGACAGTTCCTGCAGCCCCACCCCCGTGTCCCTGATTGGCTAGTGATCCAGGACCCGCCCCTGAACCCTGAGTGACAGCAGGATAGAACCTCTACCTGGCTGAATGGAACGCAAGAGGCGGTTTCTGTCTTCAGCCCTTCTCAGCCCCAGCAACTATCCAGGGCCTGGACCTGATCTAACGTGAGGGATTATTGCATGTGTCCATTTAGAACCAACCTCCCAGGTCTGGGAACACCTATAAAAACTAAATATAGTATATAATATGTAATATAGTTTTATAAAAGACCATTTATTATTTATTATTTTTTAATTTATTTTTAAATTATAGGTGGGCACAATATCTTTATTTTATTAATTTATTATTTATTTGGTGCTGAGGATCGAACCCAGTGCCTCATGCATGCTAGGCCAGCACTCTACCACTGAGACCCAGCCCCAGCCTTAAAAGGCCATTTAAAATATAACCAATAAGATATATTAATATTCTTAACTATATTAATTATTATAATATATAATTAAATGAAATTTATTGCAGAATTGAAAAATCTGGATTTAATTGCTTAAGCAAAATTCGATCCTGGCCTTTCAGAACTGGTGTTGTCATCTCACTGTAATCAGTGGGCTCTTTCTGTTGCTGCCCCCTAATTGAGGGAACCAGTGAATGTACTTAGGCAATTCCAGAGGCAATGTCCACGAGATAACATCCCACCTCAGGAAAGGACATCTTGTCAAACATAGTGGCACATGCCTGGAGTCCCTGCAGCTCTGGAGGCTGAGGTGGGGGGATTGCAAGTTCAAGCCAGCCTCAGCAATTTAGCAAGAACCAATCTCAAAATAAAAACAGAAAAAAAAAGAAAAAGGGCTGGGAAGTGGCTCCGTGGTTAAGCACCCCAGGGTTCAATTTGGTACCAAAAAAGAAAACAACATCTACCCAGACTGCTAGTGAAGCCAGAATCAGACAGGTAGTCAGCATAGATAGGTAAGTTGAGTCAGGTCAGATCAAGGAGGCCAATTTTGAGTGAGTGAGGCAAGTTGGAGACTATCCCCTGAGGGACTGAAATGTTAATTCCTTCAGAGCCCTTCCTCCACCCTTATCAGCCCCTGCTCTAAGGTAACCTGTCCCAAATATTGCCCCTCCCTCCAGGGAGCTATAAGATTGTTAATCAACCTATCCTGGGCTGCTTCTTCCTGCCCTTCCCCCTTCAGCCCACACTTTCCCACCTTTGGTCTGTTCCACTAAACATTCCTGGGCCTAGTCCTGGGCTAGTCACATATGCAGGAAGGAGAAATATAAGGGGATAAAGGCAGGAGAACAAAAGAAGCCGAGGACATAGAAAAAGGGCAGAACACCTTGCTTCTGGAGATACCAGGATACCAGCTACAGCCCCCTTTCTCCTGGGAGAAGTCTATGTTACCCCTTTTTAAATAAACCCGCTTTGTATGCTTGCCTCTCAACATGCTTCTCTAATATTCAGACTTCAACATTTGAGGTGGCAGAACTTGTCACAGGTAACTGGCAGTATTAGCAGGACATAATGGAACAGAAGGGAGTGAGGCAGTGCCCTGTATTGTCAGAGGGCTGACATTTGGGATGAGACAGCTGGCTTCACAGCCAAGGCTTTCTTCCGCCTTTGCTGTCTATCTACCCTACCTACATACCCACAGGGGAGTACAGTTCAGGGGGCAATGGAGCTATATGGAAGCAACGTTCTACAAAGGAATCAAGAGGGAATAAAAGGAAACATTTGAACTCAGAAACCAGCCTGCTCCACATGTAGGAAAAGCTTAGATTCAGAAGATTAAACATATTCCCAACCTCGAGGGCCACAATGACATCTTGCTGAATCCAAGTTTTCAAAATGGGACACTCTTGGGTGCTGAGGCAGATTGCATAAGGATTTCACGTAGGAAGTCACCATGCCCAGCTGTCCCCTCCTCACGGTGTGCAAACTCTCCATCCTTCAAAACCTGAACATTCACCATAAACACTCTCATGTTGACTCACTTTTATAACCCTTTCTTAGGAGATCTTTAAATCTTCTTTCTCTAACCCTGTTCCTTATATATTTCCTTCCCATGGACAAATTACAGATCAAACTCCAGTAGGCTACACATCCCATATCATTGTCTCCAACATAGCCGCGGAGAAACAGATGAACCCAGCCTAATTCCATCTTAAGATTTGGAGCCATCTTGTCACAAAGTCATGAAAAGTTAATCTCTGTTTTTCTATCAATTACTGAGATTTCTAAACTTCTTTGGAATTCCTGCCCATGCCTTGAACTCAGTTCCCATCCCCAAAGCCAGTTAATGCCAATTTAATAATGAGGTCATGGTTTTGAGAAAACAGTTACAAATTTTGACACCCCAGTGGGACTTCAGAGCAGCCCCCGCTCCTCTTTCTTGGGGAAACCTAGCACTCCAAGCAACTGCACTTTGATACCTAGGATGTAAGATGAATTTTTTGAGAGCTGACTACTGGAAAGTAAGTTGGAGACAGGCGAGTGTGCCTGGGGTCAGACAGAACCAGAACCAGAGGAGCTGTGCCACTCCCAGCAGCTGCCAAAGCTCCTTTTGCTTCAGGGAACACCCCACCACCACCACCCCACACTGTAAAGATTGCTCCATCTCTGTCTTCTTAAAAAAAAGAAAAGAAAACTTAATGCAGTAAAGTCGCCACACCAAGACCCTTCATTTTACACTTTTGGTTCCCCTTTGTGGGAACATCTGGTCAACTCATGGGGACATTTGTGGTGCTACCTGTATAGAAGTCATAGTTAAGTGTTAGTTGGGAACTTGAGGAGATTTTCCCCCTATCTGGTCTGTCTGTTTTAAAGGTTTCTGCCTGTTGGCCAAGTTTGGAGCTCCTCTCTTCCTGTCTGTCATTATGTTTTTGTTTGTATCTGTTTCTGGCCCTTTAAGACATGGGCAATGTGTTGATATTATAGATTGTTTCCTGGGAATAATCGTGGCTGAATGGGCCACCTATAGATGTAAATGTGTCTAAAAAGACGGATGTTTTACTGTAACAATCTGGTATTTGAATGTTTTTTTGAAGCATTGTACAATCTTGCAGTTAAAAGTTGATTTGTCAGAGATAAAATAATTAATAAGGAGTCTTTTAAAAAATTTTTAAATATTTATTTATTTATCTTTTTTTTTAGTTTTCGGTGGACACCACATCTTTGTTTGTTTGTGGTGTTGAGGATCGAATCTGGGCGGCACGCTTGCCAGGCGAGCGCGCTACCTCTTGAGCCACATCCCCAGCCCCCATGGAGGTAAACTTAGCCAAGCTTTTTCCTTCAATGCCCCAGGTACACTTCTCCTGCGTCTCTGTAAGGAGCCAGAAGTCAATTTCCCCTAGAATACAAGCACCAGCTTTCTGTTCTCTCCTCTTACCTTAGAACTCTTAGAAATATCCAAACAGCCAAAAGGTTTACTCCCCCTGAGTTATGAACAGACTTTGGAGCCAGATTTAACCTGTTTGTCACTGAGAGAGGAAGACTAACCCTAGGAATGGCAAGGAAATGCCAAGGACCTGTTCAACAGCAAATGGCTTATCTTAGGAAGGAGCTTAACATTGTAGCTTTGTTCTCAAAGGTAACAGAAAATAAGGTACCATGATTTTAGACATCCAACCATGTCCAATTACCAACTAGAAAAAATAGTTAAAACAACTTAGACATGTTTTCCCCAGACCTCAGCCAGAGCTTACATTGAAATGCAAATGGCAGAAGCCTGCAGGCTCAGTAGGAGACTAATTTGAGGCCCAAGGGAAAAAAAAAGTAAAAGTGTTTTTTAACTAAATTTATATTAGACTAAACCAAAAAGTAAACTGTATGTTACTTTACTAATTCCTGGCTGGTCATTTTTTCTAGGACTCCTGCTTTTTCTTAGATCCTGTTTTTTGTTTTTTTTTTAAACTCACGATTTTGACCCTACAGACCTATTTTTTATTCAACTATGGAGTTTTTATTTTTATTTATTTATTTATTTATTTATTTATTTATTTATTTATTTATTTTTGGTGCTGGGGATTGAACCCAGGGCCTTGGGCTTGAGAGACAAGCACTCTTCCAACTGAGCTATACCCTCAGCCCCTAACTATGGAGTTTTTAAATATTGCAACAGAAAAGCTACAAGGCCTTTACTATTGTGTTATGTATGCACACTTGTGTTATGTGTATTGTATGCCTATATGTGCGTATGTCCATATATCATGTACATAGCATGAAAATTGGCACTTAAATAAGGAACACTCATAAAATTTTTAAAAAATGAATTCAAATATCTTTAATTCACATGATTTAAAATGGTTCAGTTTAAATTGGGTAAACAGATGAAAGAAAGATATCTTTAAAATTAAACTTAACTCACAAGTCTCTCTAGGTGGGCAAAGAACTAATTAAATGTTGATCCCTATAAAATGTCTAATTTTCCTTGGTTATAGGACTTTTCTTCAACAAGGAAGAAATGGCTAATACTGTTCAATATACTTATCTGATATTTTGGTAAAATAAATAAAGTAGATTTGACATGGGATTACTCATATTTCTGAGTAATTTTGTTTGTTAGACATCTGATTAATTTACAAGGTTAAAATGCTGTAAATATACTATCAAGTACTCTTAACTTCTTAAATTCCATTGGGTAATATTATTAATGTTTTTATAAATTGGTAAATGAAGAAAAATAGGGTTTAAAGTTGCTTTGTCATCACTAAAAAAGGTTTTACTAAAAATTTAAAGTCCCACAGGTATAATTCTATATACTTAAACATTGTGTTTTCATGAAATGGTAAACAGATGTGATTCTAGATACAAAAGTTTATAGAAGATTTCTATATACAAAGGCTCAAAAGTTTCCAACTGTTCCAATTAAGAGTACTATAAGTAACATAA